GTTAGTGGCCTGAGATAAACAAAAGTAATGGTTTATTAGCAAAAAGGTTGCTTTAATTTTTTTTTTTTTCCTAAAGGAAAGAATAACTCCCTGACTGAGGAAAAAAGAAAATTTAGAATGCTAAGTCATAGCTTGAGACTTTCAGGACCCTTCAATATGAGAAGAAAATTGGTGAAGAGAGGGGAAGTCCATGCAGTGACAAATTAAAAGGAGCACAGGAGTTTCGATTTGAGAGAAACTTCCCTCTGACATCTAAAGGAAGCCTCGTGACTTAACTATACAGTCACACTGTTAACCCATTTAAACAGATCTACACAATTCCGTAATAAAACAGGAGGAAGGGGAGGCCAGACAGCTCATGTGTAAGGGCCAACAAGCCTGCTGTGCCTGCCTGAGCCTGGCTCATGGGGATTGCATCACCACTGAGGTCCTCGGAGACACTTGACATGGAAATTTTCAAGGGAAAAAAAAATTTTGTTGTTGTTTTTGTTGTCCAAGGAGGAGTTAAGAACTGTCTGATTTCAGCACTCCTGATAATCCTTGGCTTTCTTCCCAGGCCTGTGAGAAACTCAACATCCTGTCTTACTTAGCAAGCTTTCTATTTCTAGTAAAAAAGCCTTCTATCCATAAACGCGGTCTCTGTGGGATTTTCCTATTTTCTTTGTCTCCAGTCTCCACCGCACTTCCTCTGCAAGCTGGTGTGAAACTTATCAAAAATGGAGTCTGTAAAGCAAATGTCTTAAGAGGCCTGAACCCAAATTGTCTATCTCGAGCTGTCATGCCTAAGGGCCGAGGCTGATCTCAGGAGCCTTAACCTGGGAGGATACTCCTGCTGCTTAGGAAGCTCCACTTAGCTGTTACAGGAGCAAGGAGACCTTGCAGGCAGCAGGGAGCCCGGGGTTCAGGGGCTCAGGGGCTCCACGGTTCTGGGGTTCAGGGTTCACAGCTCTGGGAGCTCTGGGGCTCAGGGGCTCAGCACCTTAGGGGCTCCAGCTGACCTCGAAACCATCTCCTGCCCAATGGGTCTTCCTCTAGGTCATCTCAGCCACCCCCAAGAGGTATTCCGGAGCCCCGCAGCCTCCACACCATGAGCTGGGCTTCTGGAGCCATTGCTCCCCCCCACCCTCGCCAAGCCTCCTGTGAAAGCCGCGCACCGGTTCCCGGCTCCACTGGGTTGAGCCTCTATTCTGCTTCCCCGGGAAAAATAGCCTCCTTGGGTCAGGAGGCTGCGGGACAATGATGATAGAGAGGAGAGCCCAGGGTGCACACTACCTTTCCTCCCTAAAGTGCTTCTCTTCTTCAGCAGATCAGTGCAGGCAGCCCCAGCAGCTACACACGTAGAGTGAGCGTTGGGAGCTAAGTTCTGGAAGCAAACTGGCTGGGCATGCGCACTGAACATAGCCCAAGTAGAAGAGGTCACAGAATCTGTGACTCAAAATTTCAATCCTTGGCTGATGCCAGATCTGCCCAGCTGGGCTCTGGTCCCTGTTTGTCACTTGTGAGCATTTACACTGAGTATGTGCTGTACCAGGCTTCAAGAACATTTTTCCAGGATAGGTGCTGGGCTAGCATGTGCAAACGTGGGTCTTTACAAACCCTCTTCTGAGAGGACAGAGGAGAGTATCCCTGATAAGCGAACATTGTTTGCTATCTCCCCTCAACGAGGACAGGACGCGCCATGGGGCGCCACGAGCACCAAGCGCTTGGGGAACTAAGGGAAGGCTTCCCCAAGCTGTGATGCTGAGTGAGGAAAAATTGTTGTCCTGCAGGGGTGATCACACTATTGAAAAGATGGTGAGTCAGAAGCTAAAGAACGATGCAAGGCTGGGAAAGTAAACCAGACGGCTCATGCTGAGCCTTCAGTCCTCTTCATTCTAAGAAGTCTCCGTCAGCTGTGCTAGAATAGCCACTGGCCCCGTGGTGCTCGCATTGGGGGGCATGTTCGCTTTATACACATCCCGACAATATCATACATGAGCGTACTGAATTTCAGGCATTTGGACCACCCATAACCCTCTTTCGTCCCTCACTCCTGCTGAAACCCTTCTTCCCAGAAGCCCCCCTTACTTTTTTACTCATAAATATTAAGAAGGGTGGGGCCTCATGAGCTCCTCCCCTAGGTATGAAGAAATGATGGCCGGTGTTCGGAGCGTCCTGAGCAGGTAAACAGAGTTGCGGTGAGTTCATGCGTGCCATGGGACGCCCAGTCTAGAGAACTATCTCTCAGTCCTCCCTCCCAGCTTCTGGCTTACATTCTCTCCAGCTCCTCCTCTGGAACGTTCTCTGAACCCGGGGGCAGAGGTGACAAAGGTGCACTGTTTAGGATCAGAACACCGTATTGTCATTTATTCTCCACCCTCTGACTAGTTTCACGAGTGTGTTTGTGACCGAGACCCACTGGCAGTATATTCTTGCTCTTAATCTTTAACAACCGCTTGTGAAACTGGCAGCTGTTTTCCTGAATGAGAGATCCAAGGCTGGCAGGAGCTATCAATACTCAGTAATCGACGGGTAGTGAAACTGGTGCCTGAATCCAGTTCCGCCCTAGCCATGCTCACCGTCATTACCAGGTCTAAACTGATGAATAAACTGCTGAATAAAGTCGCCACAAGTTCTGATTTTCAAAATGAGTTCTGTATGTAATATTGTCTTTATGTATTACTTATCTATATAGAAACTAGTAAAAAAAAATGTGGATGGTGTAACATACAATATGTTCTCCCTTTATTCTAAAACATGCATTCCTTAAGGATAGGGGAAGAAGTCTGCTCCAACGACAAGCACCAGTCTGGGAAGGTTAAAAAAAGATTCTTAGACATTAGAACTTAATCTAGACTTAACAAAATCCTGGAGCACAGGATGCAGAGCTACAGTCCCAATAGTCAGAAGGCTGAAGCAGGAGAGTGGCACCCTCAAAGTCAGCCTCCTGTACACAGTAAGACCTTGACCTCATCTCCAAAAAAGAAAAATGTATTATAATGACCAGTGCCCAATCAAAGTTCAGCCTCACATTATAAAGTCTATTTCTTAGCATATATTCATATGCTGTGGATATATATTTTATATCTTACAATATACATTACAATATTCATTATAAATGAATATAATATATATTTTATATCATATAGCTGTTTCTTTAGGGAGAAATTTACTTTTGATTTTGGTATATTTGTTTTACATTTTGGTTAAGTCACATATGATTTTCCATAGGGAAGGGGAGTACATAATGAAAAAGTTGGTAAAGATTGTTTAAATAACTTTTACTTTGATTCAAGAAGTATATTTAGTTTTTATCTTACAAGACTTGGGAATACCTTGGGTTCTAACATTGCCTGCAACCTGAAGACCCTCCAGCACTGCCTGCAATTCAGCCAAACCAGCTAATCTAGGGAGAGGATGGATAAAGAGGAGGGAAAAGAAGAGGGGCTGGAGAGATGGCTAGGGGGTTAAGAGTACTGGCTGTCCCTCCGAAAGTTCTGAGTTCAATTCCCGCAACCACGTGGTGGCTCCCAACCATCTATAGTGAGATCTGGTGCTCTCTTTCTGGCCTGCAGGCACACGTGCAGGCAGAACATTGTATAAATAATAGATACATCTTTAAAATAAAAAAAGAAAAGAGAGAAAAGAGCTACCAGTGGAAGACAGAAAAGTAATTTAAAAGGAAGATCCATGTGCTATTTCCCTGAAGCTCTGGTCGAGCCAGCTCTAGATGAGGTACAGAAAGAATTGAAAGCCTAGATGCAGTCTCTGTGTAGACTGTAGACGGTCAATGTCTAAATGTATACATAGTCAACTACAGAACAATAGCATCTTTTAGCTATTATCTTTCCCTTCTTTTAATGGATGGCTGTGTGAAGTAAAGCCAAAAGCTTCTAGTAGTTTTTGCCAGTCTTACCTTAATTAACAATTATGTGAAGCAGAGAAGAAAACCTTCTGATACTTTTTGCTGTCTTCCCCAGCAGCATCTGGTCAGACCATTGCAATACTTTCAGAGTGCTCTCTCGGCACGCCTGTCTGCACACGAAGGGGCAGAGAACTATGTACAGCACCAACATATATGTGCACGTGTTGTTTCTTTTTCTCAGATCCTGTCTTGAAAGGGTAGTTTTTGGCCTTGTCTCCTCGTCCTGTTGTTTTATTCTTTATTTTCTCTTTCCTCCGGCTCTCATCTTGTCCCAGAAAATAATATTCTCTGAGGACGCTTGATATTATTTCTCTCACTATCATACTAACCCTTGTTTTAGTTTCAACGGCTCCAAGAATTTTGAACAACCAGGGCATTTTTAACAACTGCTTTAAGTTTACTTGCTGTTGAATGCTGTTTAATATATGTAGCTTCTTTGAACTCCTTGGAAAACACTCATGGATGTGTGCTTCCTCACTTCTTAGTCATACTGTTAGTGGCACAGACATTTGGTGAAACATCTGGAAAAGATAGCAAGGAACAGAACAGCTGTGGATTATGCAACTAATCTAACAACAAAAGTGATAGTAAACTGTAGCCACAGTGAGACTAAATGGACTCAATCACAGGCAGAAGAGAATCGAATCCCTCACCAATTTAGGAAGCTTTGTGTTGTTTGGAAAGACAGAATGTGAAAACATTAATGGAGCCATACGGTGTAGACAGGAACAAATTCAGAGGAATCACTTCCCTAAACTTTAATATTTACCACGTGGGAAGCATGTCTTCAACCTTCATTGTGTGACATTAAGATATTCACCATAGAATCTATTTCACATCCAGGTAGCAACTTTGGCTGTGCTAAAAGCAGATACTATTGGTTTCACATCTCTTACTATAAACTACCCTTTTATGTGAAATGGAGCTAAAACATGAAGAAATTCCCTGGGATCTGAGAGTAGGGTTTTCCCCAGGACAGTCAAGCCTGAGGTTAATTTAGTTCTTCTAGGTCAGCTGAAGAGATGAGCCAATCAGAAAGGAGAAGGAAAAGGGATTTCCTAAATAAATATGATTCCCAAGGACATAGTCTCTAAAGGCAGTCTCTGACTTGAATCCAGCACAGTGACTCAATAGAACTCTGCTCTGCCATGAAGTCGCTTGTTCTTTTCCTCTTGGGCATCATCTTCCTGGATCAGTGTGGAGTTCAAGGTGAGGAGTTTTACAGCAAATTCAGTTTGTCAGTTCTGAGGGACGCAGCTCTATAAAAGCCTTCTTGGTTCAGCAGATAAAGCTGAATGTTTTGCATGCGATAAAAAGTACTATTGCTCACTCATCAAAGCATTTGGATGCTGTGAGCAATTATCCAAAGGTCGTAACTTGTACCTGCCAAGTCAAATACGCCTTCTTGGTATAGGGATTGTGAATTCCCAATGAGGGTTCAAAACATATCTGAACATTTTAGTAACGAGAAGCCCTTTCTCAGACGTAAAGGAGCGTGGGGGTGCTTTATTTCCACCTTGTGTGAGTCTGTCCTTTATCATGTGAGATATGAAATCCGCAGCACTGGCAGCAGGAAGTGAGATAAGAGATCACTTTTAAGTTGTCTCTTGCATCATCTTTACCACCTGATGCTATGTTCTGATAAGAATGTCTGTGTTTAACTAGCGGAGAATCCAGAAATCAGAGAGGTTGTCTCTGGCCTTTTTATTCATGACTTTGATTACCGCGGACAAATAACCTTTCTAGAATATGTTTTCCACATCTGCAAAGCAGAAGTTTTGTAGTTATTTTATGATAGTAGAATCTGTGTAAATAGGTTCTGAACCTAAGTATTAAGGGGTGTAGACAGTGTGTTTAAAAAGACTTTTCAGAGCAGTGGGGATGAGAGGGAATAAAGAGTGGAGCCATAATTAGTCACTGTAAATAGGACTTTCCTTCCACACCTACCACAACTCCATGCCCCTGAGGTAAGCTATTAACCTGAGGAACTGCTTAAGAACCTGGCCTCCGCAGCACAGATGGATTGCACATGTGTGCCCAACCTCAGCAGCGGTTTAATTAACTATGCTGGACGTTTTCTTCCAAGGTTGTGAAGTAAGGTGGTTAAGCACTCTGAGTGGTCTCAGAGTGACCTAAACTGAAATTCTTTCCCCGTTCCCTTTTGCTAAATGATGTTGGCTTCCTTGTTTACTGGGTGGAGAGAATACCAGTGGTGATGATTCACACATACACTCAATGACAGCGATAATGACTGTGTCAAATGCATCCTTTGAGACCTGGCCCTAAGACCTAAGCCTGTGTGTTATCTTCCCTCTAGGAACCCTAATAATAAGGAATCAGCGTTGCTCCTGCATCAGCACCAGCCAAGGCACGATCCACTACAAATCTTTAAAAAGCCTCAAACAATTTGCCCCAAGCCCTAATTGCAACAAAACTGAAATCATGTGAGTAAAAACCCCCAACACCTTGAACTTAGTAGGAGCCTCACCCTCAGAATACTCAGAATACCTCATGCAGTTGGCTCTTCCCCTAAATCTGTCTACACCTTTTCTTTCTTCTCCCACAAAACAAATTTCTGATGAAAAGTGAAAATGAAAGATGACATATGATTCAATCAATAAATTGTTTCCAAGACCAAATTACACTTTTAAGTGTATTTAAAGGCTTAAACTTTTAAGGCTATTTAAAATTCTAGTTCAGAAAACACATATTTGAATGTAAAATTAATTGAATATAATTAATATATTCCTATTAATTACTGATTATATTATTGTTGGATATATATTACTATAAACAAAAAACATGAATGGAATTTTCAATGAATTAATAAAAACATCATTTTTTAATAAAAGAAAATACAATTGGGATTTTTTTTTTAAATGGGCTCCTAGATGTTTAAATGTTTAAGGCAGATTGCTGAAAAGGAGGAAATAAAGAATTATAATTCTTCTTTTCTAATCCATATGCCCGTGGTCTTTTAAAACACCTTTATTTCCTTCATATGTGTGTTCCTATTGATATCTAATACATACATATATATGTACATACAAAAGTAAAATCAGTAAAGGTGAATATTATATGCAGTAGTTTCCTCTCAAGTTCCTAAGCTTCAATTTCCTGAGGTCAACCATAGTCCACAAAATTAGATCGGGTAGTCCAGAAATAAATGATTCGTAAGTTTTAATAATTTCATTGTGGTGCATTGTGGTAATTGCTTTACCTTGATGTTATTTATTGTTGTTATCATTTATTGTTGTTAATGTCTTGCTCTGCTTAATCTACACATTAGACTTTACCTTAGGTCCGTAGGCATATAGGAACACAGACGCCACATGACAGGGGAGGAACATCTTCCCTATAGATGAGAAGTTGCCATTCGTGGTGTGTTTTTTTCTTAACATAAGAATAACAAACAGTTCTCCTGTCAGTTAATTTTCTCTAATAACACCATGCTTGTCGGTTTGGGGGTGGTGGTGCTGGGATTGAACCCAGGACTATTTAACACTACTCCTGAATTAGAAGAATGGCTTTTGATTTTTTTTTTTTTTTTTTTTGAGAGATGGCTGAGGGGTTAACAGCACTTGTTGCTCTTGCAGAGGACCTGAGTTCAGTTTATATCACCCACACTGGACAACTCACAACCATCTGTAACTCCACCCCTCTTGGTCCTCTGCCTCCTTCTGGCTTCTGTGAGCAGCTGCGTACAAGTACACATAGACACAGAGAGGCACACATGAGTTAAATAAAATAAATTTTAATTCATTCTTCTGTGTGTTCGAGCGCACATGTCACAGCATGCAGGTCAGAACAACTTCGGGGGTCGGTAGTCTCCTCTGTCCTCATTTGAGGTTCTGGGGTTGAGCTCAGCTCTCCAGGCTTATGAGGCAAGTATGCTCACCAGCTGTGCCAACTCACTGACCCTAATAATGGCTTTTAATGGCTAAGCTGTTTTACAGCCTATTGATGAGCCAAAATTTGTATAGCCAATGCCCTCTGCTAGAAATGTAGGTTACGTCAAAAGTTTCATTATTGTCAAACTGTTGCTATTGCAGGATTGTCTTTAACCCTTTCCTAGTAATACTTCTCTAGAGATTGGAATTTCTTGTTTGTTTTGTTTTGAGACAGAGATACAGACTTGCTATGTAGCCAAGGCTGGTCTCAACCTCATGATCCTCTTACATCGGCTCTCTGAAAGCTAGGATTCCAGGCGTGAGCCACCATTCCCAGCCTCTTAAAATTCAGAACTATGAAGTTAAGTGCTATTTATAAGTAAGACCCTTTCCACCTAAATCAAAGGATTCTACATGGAATAGTTATTCTTATTCTCAAGGTGTATAGAGAAATTAATTTCTAAAAATTGGGGTTTCTCCTGAGAGATCTCCTACAGTTCTTAAAATGTACCTATCATTGGTCTTAGGGAGACATTTTACTATATTTTAAGTGGTTTCATTGGAAAACCGCCATGCTTTTTTCACTACTTCTACTGAGAATTATTAAATTATTAACGGGGAGAGGAGGCTCACTGATGTCTCTTTGGCACAGCGCTACACTGAGGAACGGAGGTCAAACCTGTCTGGACCCAGATTCAGCAAATGTGAAGAAGCTGATGAAAGAATGGGAGAAACAGGTTGGTGAGGGGGGAGAACACGCATTTCTTTCATTTAGAGATGAACTCTGAAAGTCAAGGGATCTGGGCATTAAGGATACATTTTTTTTCCATCCTTTGAAATTGCATCAGCTAGTAAGACACTAAGGATTCAAAAATAATAAGCTACAACCCCTTCCTCAGCAGATCCTCATTAACAATGAAGAGATCAGTAGACTTAGTGGGAGACATACAGAATAGTATATAGGCGAGAACTTTGGTAATTAGGAAGGAAAGAGTAATTGCCTTGGTCAAAAGGAAGATTAGCAAGTATCAGGTAGACTTCTTAGATCATGTGACCTTTGATTTGGCTCTTGAAGGATAAGCTATTTTCCAGGAAGTTGGTTAAGTACGGTGTGGGCGTTAGTGCTTTCATGAGCAGCAGGCTGTGTTCCCCGAGCCTGAAGTAATGAAGCTGGAATTTAAGTGTAGAGAACAAAGAGGTAGAGATGAGAAAGGAGCCTAGGACAAAGGGAGGGGAACTCTAAGGAGCTGGGTTTGAGAAGAGCCATGGGGTATGCGGTGGTGAGCTCAGGTCCCCAAGTGTGACTCCTGGGTTTGCCACAGACCAGCTGTGAGGATTTAGGCTACACTCCCACCCAGCCTTGTCCATGTTCAGTGGTTCCTCAACCTTCCTCACGCTGCGGTGACCCGCCCCCAACATAACATTATGTCGTTGCGCCTTCCTAACTGTACATTTTGCCGCCGTTATCAATCGTGATGTAAATATCTGATATGCAGGATATCTGATATGCGACCCCCGAATGGGTCGTGACCCATACGTTGAGAACCACTGGATGGCTTAAATGAAGGGTGGAAAAGAGCAGTACCCGCCAGCTCCAGAGGGGCTGTGGATTGGATGGGTGATGAAGGGGAATGAGGTGACGATAGCCAGACACCAGGAAAACAGTGAACAAGCAGAGAGGGAGTGGCAGCTTCTTTGATGTGGGGAAAGCCGGTGAGAGCAGTGGGCACCTCTGAGAGCTGCGGCTAAGCCGGCTGTGAGGATAACAAATGGTCTGGTCGCAGTCGGAGTTCAGCCATCTGGAGGGAAAGTTCAGGACACTTGAGAACATTGCCTTTTTCTCACATCTTGCAGGTCAGCCAAAAGAAGAAGCAAAAGAAGGGGAAAAAACATCAAAAGAACAAGAAAACCCGAAAAGCTAAGCCCCAACGTCGTCCTTCGAAGAAGACTACTGAAGTGCTCCGTGTTTAAGTGGTTTTTCCATCTTAGCGAAATGCCTTCACCTGGGAGCACCCTTTAACACATAAGCTCCTTAACTTGGCTAGAAGATCTAAAGCATGATTTTAAAATTATAACCAACGCTACAAAGTTAATTGTAGAACCCAAGTAGTAAAAATTGATAGAGGCAAAAAATCGTCTTTGTTCTACTTAGCCAACAAAATTTCATCAAGCTATTGAGCACAGTCATGATAATATCAAATATGGGCAAGTGTCCACACATACTTAGGCAATGCACAACAGCTGTCTGGCTTCTAGACCACACATTGCAGCTTCCAGAGTCTTCTGAGGCCCATGTCAAGAAGCTCTCGGCCTGTCTGTCTGCTGGTGAGCTGGACCTCACCAAGCTGGTGTGGCCATCGGTGGCTGGCATTTGGGTCAGCCTGTTAGGCCCTGCACCAAGTGTGTCTCAGAGATCAGTGCTAAAGGGTTTTGGGTTCCATGGTGGAGATCATCAGGCTTGGCTTTCTGAACCTTTCATGTAGCTTTTGAGTCCATGTGATTTCATTGTTTACTTGATCCCCTCTTCAAGTATCATTTCACGTTTTGCCTCTTAAATTAAAACTCTCCTAGAGGGTTGTGGGCATAGCCTAATGGTAGAGGGCTTGCCTTGCATGGACAAGGCCCTGGAGTTGATCACAGTGCAAAACCTTAACTTTTTTTTTTTTTTTAAGATTTTCTGGCTACTCAAATCCTCTTAAATGTCTTTCACTTGTTTCTCAGTGCTTCATGACTAACCACTTCTCTGTTATCTAATTGCTTTCTGTGTGTTTATTTCCCTCTTTCTAATGAGATTGGTTTTTGTTTTGTTTGTTTTGTTTTTTGAGAACAGGCACCATGGATTACTCCACTAAATCTTCCATGATGCCTACAAGAACTTGGTTTTGAATAATTTCCTAATTGTATGTGTAAGAAGTAGAAAGGCCATCAGACACGAGGCACTGGCCAATTCCTGGCTACTCCATATTGCATAACTCTAACCGTTGGTCTGCTTGCTTGCTTGCTTACTTTTTTCTTTTCTTTTTTTTTTTAAGACAGGGTTTCTCAACTGGCTTTCCAAACACTCACTAAATAGTCAAGGCTGGCCTTGAACTCACATATATCTGCCTTCCACTGCCTCCTGAATACTGGGATTAAACATGTGTATACCTGCTTGCATGCCTGTCTGACTTCCTTTTTTTTCCTTCCTTCCTTCTTCCTTCCTTGCTTTTTAAAACTACCTAGCTTTCTTGTTATCATCAGGCATCTTCAATGCACAGCCAGAATGAAAGTGTAGCCTTACCTCGTGACAGGATGCTAACATCTTTAACAAATAGGAACCACATGTATAAGACATTTGTGAGTATACAGGACATCTAGAAACACATAAGCTTACATAAGAGAGGTTTTACTGATTGGCAAACACCACACCTTTCCCCACTCAAAACAAAAATTCCTCTAATACTATAAGAATGGTCTCAAGAGATCAGCACAAGCCTCCTACGAGTCAACAAAATAGCTGCCAGATCCTTTAACAGGTTCATCTCAGGCGAATATGAATTTCATTATGGCCTTCCCTCATTGCACAATTCCCAGAGTCTTATGATATCAATCGACACATCAGAAAAGGAGTGCTGAGATAGCAAGATTGGGGCTGGAGAGGTGGGCGGCTCTCTAGAGGACCGAAGTTCCAAACTGGGGGCTCACAACCACCTGTGGCTCCAGCTCCAGGGGATCGGCTTCTCTCTCCCCCTTTGCAAGCATTGCACGATGTACGCAGGCCCACACTCCAACATAACACACACGTAATTTAAAAATCAAAATGAAATAATCGCAGGAATACTGTTAGAGGGAACCAAGAGCTACAGGAAACAGTAAATTCTGTTAGTGGAAGCATGCATGGGGCCCGAGTTAGCCTCTTTGAGGGCTGGAAACTGCCTTTCTAATGAGCTAAATAGAAAAGCATGTCTCTGGCCAGAAATTCAGCCTCCGCTCACATACTTCCTCAAATATTAGCATTCCTCCTGCTGCAGATGGTTTTGTGTGCTGCTGGTGGGAATTCCATCCAAACAGCATTATAGAGTGACAAAGGTGTCCAGTTCCCTCCAGGAAAAGAAAATCTAAAAATGATTCCTAACGAGCCAGCTAGTGGCCCTTGCATCTGACTGGGTACTGACTGGGTAGTGAGCATAACTACTAGCCAGAGACTGTATTCACTAAGTAACTATGATTGAGATGTATCATTTTCATATAGTAGTCTTCATATATATATACATACATATACACACACACATATATATATACTCTAATTCTTAATTGAAAACTAATTGGCATATATGCTTTGGAGCTATTTTGTGAAAGGTTAGTGATATCAATAAAAGTCCACTAATCCCAAAATAAACTTGATTTTGTTGTTGTTTTCATCTGTTCTTTAGCTCCTGTGTGCTTCAGAATAATTATCATCTAGCCTTTGTTCATTTGATTTTTGGCTTTCGTCTCATGTTATTGATGTCAGTTGAGATAAAGATGTGAAAGCACTTTAAGGGGTTTCATAGGCACAGGAAAAAAAACTTCTATGTAAAATAATACAACACTGACTGTCTTAGCTAGGGTTTCTATTGCTGTGATAAAACACTGTGACCAAAAGCAACTTGGGGAGGAAAGGGTTATTTCACTTACACTTCGATATCACCCTATATCAATGAAGGTAGACTGGGCAGGGATTCAAACAGGGCAGGAACCTAGAAGCAGGAGCTGATGCAAAAGTAGAGAGCGCTGCCAACTGGCATGCTCACCATAGCTTGCTCAGTCTGCGTTCTTATATCACCCAAGACTGCCAGCCCAGAGGGAGTGCTACTCACAACGGCCTGGGGCCTCCAGCATGAATCACTAATTAAGATGGAGCTACGAGCTATGAGCTCCATCTTACAAAGCCATTTTCTCATTGAGGTTCCCTCGCCTCAGATGGCCTTAGCTGATGTCAAGTTGACATACAACTAGTCAAAACACTACCTTACAACAACATTGACTTGTAGGAGTTATATAGGAACTGGAGAGATGGACCAACGGTTAGGAGCAAAGGCTGCTCTTCCACAAGACACAGGTTCAATTCCCAGCATCCTCATGACAGCTTACAACCATCCGTAACTCCAGTTCCAGGGGATTTGATTTTCCTCTTCTGGCCTCTCAGGCATATGCTTGGTGCACAGACATGCATGCAGGCAAAACACCAATACACTTAAAATTGAATAAGAATATGAAGAATTATGTGGCACTTATTCTCTAATTATCAAAAGTAACCCTAGTCTAGTGGGCTATGAGCCCAGCAAACCAAAAAGTTCCTCTTTTCTCCCTCCTAAAATTACATATGTTCAAGTAGCATGAAGCCTCAAGAAGGGATGATGGTGGACATCCAAAAGGCAGACAAATTATTTAAGTCTTGGTTGCCAGGATCTAGAAAGTTATCTTCCAAAGGCATCTCTGACCATGCTCTTCATGTACTGAGCCTCTCTAGCCATCTCTGGGGCACATTGAATTCATTTCCATTTCAGGGCCCACGCAGGTGCTCTGCTGGACTGTGCTGGACTGTGGACTGTGGAGGCAGCCTGTGGTTGCCTCCTTGGAAGAGATAAAGCCTTTAAGAGGTGGGGCCCACTGAGAGGAAATTAATTAAGGCTGTTCTCTTGACAAGGATAATGTCAAGCCTAGCCCTCTGCCCCTTTCCTTTTTCTTCCTGGATTCCATGCTGTGAACAGTCCTCCTCTGCCATGAAGCCTGCTATGAAATACTGTGCTACGTGAGCTCAAGGCAACTGGGCCAAGTAACCACAAACTTGAAACCATGAGTCAAAATGGACCGTCCCTCCTTTTAAGTTGACTGTGTTGCATTATTTATCCCAGTGATGGCAAGCAAACACAGTTGTGACACTTGGACTAAAGACACACAGCGTGCGATCTCTAGGAAGGTTGAAAGTAGACAGAAAACATCAGCCTGTACAACTGAGGTACTCTTGAAAAGCCAGACTGGTGTGGTGTTTGGGCAGGTCTCAGTCACTAGTGGTATACATGGATTCCCCCAAGGGCCTTTACCTATGAGGCAGCCAGATGCTGTGCAGGGAGCAAGGATGTTTAGATATGTGTCTTAAGAGGAACGGAACATACTCTTGAGCAGTGTGGCCTTCAAGCATACCACCTCTCTCATTAATTTCCTCACCCAGGATCATTGTGAGAGACAAAATGCATAGAGATCCTGGTGCACAGAAAGTTCTAGGCCTTCCTTGCCCACTCATCACTGTTGTACCTGCCTCTCATCAGAGGCTACCCCATGCCTTGTGGACAGAGATATGTGTGGACATGAAACACTACGTTGGAGCAATGAGACCAAAAGCTCCCCTGAGCTTTTCAGCAGTTCTCTCTAGGGACATGTTCATAACCCTAACCCAGCCAATCATGACCTCTTCCCTGGACTACCCCAGTGCTCTCCTATATGCTAATGTTTCTCTTGCTTCTCTGCTACCCACAGCAGCCAGAATGATCCTTCTAAGATAATAATTCAAAGTACAATACCTCGCTTAAAATCTTGGAGTTTACAGTTCAGTCAAAGGCGCCACATCCTGTCTGCTGGACTCTGTCTGCCTCTCTGATCCCGTTCCTTCATGTGTGAGCCTTGGCTTTTTGTCTCTTTTCAAGGCCTTAGTTGATTCTGCTCCATGCTGGGCTGGACCATGCCATCAGCTTGGTGGGACCGCAATCTGCATTTCCTGGAGTCTCTCCCCTGTGTGCTTCTAAGTTAGAGTTAGCTTTCAGGGAACTGGGTGAGATTGGGAAAAGCAAGAGTGATAATCTTCAGAAGGCTACAAGGCAAACTGGAATGCAGCAGTTCTCAGCTTGTCTTGGTCTCTTCCTGCACAGCTGGCTCATCTCCACTGTTGACCTATGATCGTAGGCCCTCCCAGGACCCCCAGGAGAAACAGTGTATCTATGGAGGCCACAATGATACAGAAGCAGCAGCTTCCCGTAAACATTAGCAACCCTTATTTGGCAACTAGGGCTCATCCTCTTGAGTTTTCTCACAAGCTGAATTGTCCAGCTGTCCCAGCGCTTCTGCTAGATCAGTCAACAATTCTCCCTCCCATCCCCCGATTTTCCCACTGGGACTTTCACTTCCCAGCATCCACCCCTCATTCCCATAGCACACCCTTTGTTCCCACAACGTCTTAATAGAGACTCTGTCCCTCTAGCTGATACGATTGTGTATAAAGAACTCTTCTCATAAATTAGGTTTCAGTTTATGTATTAGTGACTTTCCTAGAGCTGTGAAAAAATACTTTGACAATGTATAGAAGTAAGGGTTTATTTACTGTTATAGTTCCCAAGGGATAAGAGTCCATCAGGGCAGCAGGCAGCAGACAGAGTGGCAGAAACTGCTGAGAGCTCATACCAGAAACAGTAAGCTGATGGTGGGCTCAGAATGGTATGTGGCTTTCAAGCAATCCCCCTCCCCATGCCATACCTCTCCCAGCTCCCAAATGTCACCACCAGCTGGGAACCAAATTTCAAACATCTGAGCCTGCGGGGAATACTCTCACACAAACTACCATGTCACTTCAGAGTCTCCTCCTGGGCTGGAGAGATGGCTCAGTGGTTAAGAGCAGTGACTGCTCTTCTCGGAGGTCCCAGGTTCAATTCTCACTCAACCACATGGTGGTTAACAGCCATCTATAATGTGATATGATGCCCTCTTCTGGCATGCAGGTGTGTATGCTGATAGAGCACTCATATACATTGAAAAAACAAATAAAAAACAGCAGTCTCCTCCTCATTTTCAGTAAAATAGTCATCTCTTTTCCAGACTACTATTATATTGTTTTCTAACATGGAGCGTGTGTACAAAAGTAATAATGAAATGGAAACATTCAGCTTTTTCATTATTGTTTTAAAAAATAAGAACTGGCTGGATGTGGTGGCACATTTAACCCCCGGAGGCCAGAGGCCAAGGAGGGCAGATCCTTCCTTGAGTTCGAGGCCATCCTGGTCTACAGAGTAAGTTCCAAGATGGACAGCCAGGGCTGTTACACAGAGACACCCTGTCTCAAAATAACAGCAACAACGACGACGAAAGAACTGACTCAAATGCCTGCCCCCACCCCACGTGCATAATTGAACCACGAATTGAGTTATTATACATCTTAACCCATGCTTGACACTGTCAGCTTCGCTCAGGGCATTTGTCATAGCTCACATGCTGACTCTTCTGAGGTGGAGAGCCACAGGCTCTCACTCCGCCCTTCACTCTCTGCGCGCTCCTCACTTAGCACTGACCTCACTAGTGCTGACTAAGGTCGATACTGAGTAAGACACTGTTACCTTTTCCTTCACAGAACTGGCACATGGTCTCTGAGGAATTCCCTCTATAGTTATAGCAAATGATGTAATTATATTTAAATTTTTTTAATTATGAAAAAAAAAACGAAAAAAATTCATAGTGAAGTAATCCTAATAAAGCAACCTAGGCTAGCAAAAGAGTTAAGATATGGATCTATTGTCTCGGTGTTCTAATTTTACCTTTCAGATATACATGGTCTTGTGGCTTCTGAAGGCACCTGCACAGAGCCACCCTCATACACAGACACACTCGAGCAATTAAAAAGAAATCATTAATAAACATTATGTGATTACTCTTGGGCTCCACCCACACACACAGTTTATATCGGTTGGTTGCAGACATTTTGTCTTCTTCATCACTGTACGTCTAGTGCGTGGAGCAGGCCCTGACATCTAGGATGTTCTAGTTGATCGATGTGTGCTTTGCCCTGAGTTTCCTCAAAGGCCTTCTCCAAATCCATCTCAGCCACCCTGGTCATGGTCACCAGCGTGTGCCCTCATCTCTACCTCAGCCTGGCCTGTCCTTGAGTTCACCTGTTCTGCCTCTTCTATCTGACTTCTGCCTGTATGCGATCCAAGTCCCACCTTTTCAAAACTGCATCCGGGGATGCCCCTGGCCACACTGAAGTCTCTGACTGAAGTCTCTTCCTTCAAGTAGGAAGAACTAGTCTCATTAATTTTTTTAATGCTTTCCTTATGCCAAGGAACATTGTCTTCCTAAACTAGTAATAAAAGGCTTGGTTATCTGTATCTTTAGACTGGCAAGCTCTCAGCTGTGTAATTGGGAGAGGTCTGTCTGTGAGAAAATGGAAAGCTGTTTCCTGACCACTGCTGACAATAGAACTCACAGCCTCAGGCCTGCGAGGCTAGTGCTTTTCTGGTGAACTACAACCCAAGCCCAGCAACAGGGTCTTTGGCAATTTAACAGTCTAGTCTTCATCTTCGAATAAGATTATAAACTGTAACAAACTGATGAAAGATGAGAGGGAGGGTGTCTTACCACTCTATGGCTGTGAAGAGAAACCAAGACCGTGGCAGCTCTTACAAAGGAAAGCCTTTAAATGGGACTTTCTCACAGTTTCAGGGGTTTATTCCATTGTGGTCATGGTGGGGAGCAGGGGAGCACGCAGGCAGACATGTTGGAGAAGTAGCTGAGGGTTCTACACCTGGATCCACGGGCAGCAGAGAGAGCCTGAGCCTGGTTTGAGCTTTTGAAACTTCAAAGCCCACCCCCAGTGACACACTTCCTCTAACAAGGCCACACCTCCTAATCCTTCTCAAGTAGTGCCATTTCCTGATGACCAAGCATTCAACTATATGAGCCTATGGGGTCGTTCTTATTCAAAATACTGTAGAGAGTCCTTCCACAGTCAGTGATGACACCATGGCGTTACAGGCCTTCAGCCAAGCTGCCCTGCGAATGGCTGAGGATGTGACACCCGAAACCAGCCAGAAAAAAATGAAATAACTGCTGAGGCAGCTAAGCCCCAGGAGTCCAACATCTACTTCTTCAGGGAGGAGGGAAGCCTTTCCTTTCCCTTGATGAATGATGAGGAGTCTCAGAAGGTCATGATGAAAAGATGATGGCAGCTCCCTCTATTTAGCCCGAAACTGGGACTTATAAATCTCTGGCAGTGGGAGGGGTTTTGGGGGTGAATGTTCTCAAATTGCTGGGGCTAGAGGCACCAAGGACTCTTCATTTATGTGCAATAGCACAGTCCTATCATAAGAGGGGAAATGAAGTACTTAATTATCCTATGGGCGGAGAAAGAACTGCAGGGATGGTCAAAGGTCATTGGTTGAAGGCCAAGATATCAAGATATCTCATTAGCATAGGACAGATGTTTCCAGGAATCCCCAGGTGCACACTGAGCATGTTTCTTATCAGGAAAAGGGTCAGGCCTGTAACTTTCCCTGAGGGCTGTATGACGCTCCTCAGAGGGAACCTAGCTGAGGTGGGGAGTCTGTCATCTTTGCAGCAGGCTCAGGGACTATCCGGTAATGCAGTTCCCACTGCCATCTGGAACTGGCAATCTCATTCAAAAGAGCTAATTGTGACGCAGCAGGGAAACTTTTCCACATCCTCGGTGAGATCTGGGAGCCTTGCACACGGGCCTTGTTTTGAGCTCTCTAGCTGCTCCAAAGAGAAGCGGATTGATGCTAAACTTCCTCCATTCCCACCGGAAAGCTGGCAACACTCTGACCTTACTTATCATCCCTTACTGTAAACTGTCTTGTGAAAAAAAAAAAAAAAGCCTTATATACCTTGCTTTAAAAAAAAATACTAGTCTCAGACTGTATTTCACAGGGGATGAAAAACTATACTGTGAGGTATCAGGACCTTGGGTCCTTTGTTGGGAATTTTCCTACTCATTTCCTATTATGACAGAAGTCAGGAGCAGCCAAGAACAGGCACATCAACAGTTTTCCCGTAGCTGAACTTGGTCTAGGAATAACAGCAGATCTTCAGCTCTTCCAGTTCACCTGGCTTCCTAAAAACCAACAACAAAACCTGACAGATAAAGGCCAGCCTTCATTTCTCTTGTCCTCCTGAGGTCTAACATTGGTCTGATGTGCAGTTGGGTGCCCACAGAGGAGCTAGTGACGCCCTCCTGACTCTCAGAGTCCTCCAAGATCTTCCCAGGTAAACTAAAATGCCACCACCCCAAAGATCTACGGCATAGCATTCACCTTTCCTCACCAGTATCATTCTGTGTACTTAATTTAAAGTTTGTTTAACAGGTAGACAGGTTATTTTTAAACACACACACACACACACACACACACACACACACACACAAAAGGCTCAGGGAAAATTTGGGAGGTGCTATGTTGACGGTGGGAATGAATCCATAGGCCTGGGAATATCGTCAAACTCAGCAACTTGTACACATTAAATACATACACCTTGTCAGCTGTCTCTTACATGTCAATAAAGTCATATGTGTTTGGTTTGTTTGTGACAGGGTGTTCGCCCAGGCTAACATCAAACTCCTGAGTGTGTGCTGAGATTATGGTATGCCCCTTGTCTGGTTTAGGGGAGGGGACGGGGTGCCAAGGAACAATATCCAAGGTTTCATGCATGCTAGACAGGAACTCCAGTATCTGAGCTACATGCCTAGCCCAGCTCCATGTGTGTGTGTGTGTGTGTGTGTGTGTGTGTGTATTTGTGTACATATTTGTACATATGTGTACATGTTCCTGTGTCTACATATTTCTGTGTGCACAAATACAAGTGGAGGCCAGAACACAGTGTCAGGAGCAGTTTCTTAGGTACTGTTCACCTTGTTTTTGAGACAGACTGCTCATTAGCCTGGATCTAGGCAAGTAGGCCAGGCTACCTGGCCAATGAGCACCAAAGGCCTGTCTATGCCCTGTCCTGCAC